GGAGCCTTCTAAATTGAAAAGGGTAATCATATGGTAGCAAAGGAATTCTTGGAATGAAGATATCTTCACCTTTGGCATGACCAGTTGATTCAATAACATGTGGCAGTAAAGTATTAACGACTAATCTTGTGCCATTACTTAATTTTGGAGGACCAATATTTCTCAACAACATTATTGGTGAACCAGTCTTTAATTTCAGATTGTGACCTGGCGTCCTTGGTGGGTCAAGAGAATTTAGGAATTCAGTTGGATAATTTACAGCATCAACTGTAACTGGAACACTGACAGTTGAGTTGTGGGTGAATTCCTATCTGGGAACCTTTTGCAATAATTGATAATTTATGTCATGAACAGTATCATTTCAAGGTGCAAGAATTACTATTTTACACAGCCATTAATTTTTGACAAATATTAGGGGAACACCTTTTCCTTTATCTATTGTACAACCTTAACAAAGTTATCACATTTGTCTGGAATAGTAATGTAGTTATTTGATTAACTTAACTAACTTAAGAAGAAGTTTCTGAATTAAACTGTTTGCATTTATATAACCAAAGAAAATAAAAATAAACCACAAATTACATGTACATTAAGCATTTAACATAAATAACATTGTTGACCTAACAACAATATTGTGACTGTTGTCGCAATGGGATGGTATATAGTGTTGAATAATACCAAAAGGACCATGACACGAAGACAAACTGAATTAAAAGCCAAAAATTAGTTTTTGTGGGAAACCTGGTGTGAATTTTGCCTCTTCATGTTATTTCTGGGGTCCATAGGAGTCGTCATGCCAAGTTTGATGGTAATTGGTCATATAGTATGCGAGGAGTTAGCAGACAGACAAACATACCATTTCACTTTTATATATTTATGTAGATTGTTTTAAGCACCAAACTAAAACGTTTATGACTACAACAGATAAGAAATCACTGACAAACTAAAATGCTTGCAGCCTATATTTCGATAATAGTAGTAAGATTATAATCATTCAATGAAGATACTGCACGGTTATATTTATATTACGTTCTACGTCATACCAAAGATTTTCAGATTTTAAACCTCAAAAATGTTTTAAACCAACTGTTTTATGAGTGGTAAACTGGATATCTTTATGGTAAAGTTCATTTATTTATACATGTTATTTACATGAACATAAAACAGTGTTAGGAACTTCATATCTTAAAATTTGTAATGACTTTAAGCTTTTTATTCTTTTATTTTTTTGAATTACTTGTATCTAGTCATTTATTTATTCTTTTCCTGAGAAATTATCTTAATTAACTTCATGTTTAGGCTTCCAACTATTATTTTTTTGTGTGTTTTTTAATTCTCGTAACTTCTCCATTTAGTGTTCATTGCTTTACTTTACTCGTATGCGATTGTTGCATATGTGGCATTAGTTGGTGTCATTCACAAGAATTGTCATCACCAAATGCAAAGCCTGATTACTGTTCACTTTTATGAGGAGAATTATATATTTCATTGAAACTAAAGTAACTTGCTGTTTGTTTATAATAACATATAGAAATGCTAAAAATAAAACAGTATATTTTGAAATTATTTTAGTCTTTTAAGGGAGTGATTTGAAAATTTAATAAAATTTCACAAAATTGTTTGAATACTGTAAAGTGACAAAAACTAGCATCAGTGCACACCTTATTTTATTGTTTCAGACACATGCCACACATTTATATCTTTTTGTTTTTAAAAATGTGTTAGTACCTTGGAGAAAAGGATAAAGTTCTTCACTACAATTGTAAATAAAGCCTCTTAAATTTGTAAGTATTCTTTTAATAAAACATAAGAAACCTGTTCTAGCCCCATTATGATTCTATGAGTTTTTCTCATGGTGGAAAATTGGTTATTTGCCAAAGAAAGTGGGCATAAAACCTATATATTTCTGGAGAATGAGCATATGTTTTCATATCACTGTCTATTTATTTTTATTAAAAATGAGTTGGAAGACCTCTTAGTGGCACAGCACTCTCATGGTGTTTAGGTTTATACAGTCAAAAGTTTTTGACATTTAGTGCATTGTTTTCTTTGACACTTACTCTGTTTCTGCTACACATCTCTTGGATTTACTGTGAATGAGGTACTAGGATATTGATTTAGAGAACATATCACTGGGCAACAAAAATTTTTCTCTGCCACTAGAAAAAAATGCAGTAATTTCACAATGCTGATTCTAAAAATCATATTGAAAATTACTGAACATCTCCAGTTTTTGAGTTATAACAGATTTTTTTTAAATATTCTTATATGTTCTTAAAATAATGTTTTCTTTAATAACTTTATTTATTCATTGAAAATTACATTTAAGAATGTTCAAAAACAGTATATAATAATAATACTAGTTTAAAAAAGCAGTGAGTATAATAATATTGTAAATACAATCATGCTATGTTCAAACCTTCCATCATGGTATTAGTTTTTGTTACAAAATATCTGCTTAAGTTGTTGTGCCTTTTGACCTTCTCAGATTCGTACTTTAATCACCCATAACCACAGGATTCCATCATCATTGATATTGCTGCTCTATTGTAGAAATATCTTAGTGGAATTGCTCACCATGCTCATTCTCACTGCACCTAGATCAGTGGGAGTTTAAGTAGTGCATATTTAGTGACATCCTAGACCCTATTTTACTGTTGTTCTCAAGCATATCATCAATCATCACAGCATAATTTTCATCTCTGTAATTTCTTAAGATATTTTTGACAATGAATTTAAATGATGACCCAACAAAGATACCTCCTTTCATTTTTGTTTCACTGATTTTTGGAAACTTGTCAGACAAATATCTGAAACCATTACCATCTTTGTTCATTCCTTTTACAATATGTTTCATGAGTTCCAGTTTAATATGAAGTGAGAGCAGAAACACATTTTGATGATTCAACGAAGGTTGATACTCAATATTTTATTTCTCTGGCTTGTAATTCTCTCTCACTGGCCATTCCTTCTTTTTGCAATGATTTTTATGATGTCAGCTGCCCCAAAAGACACAAAAAGCAATATTTGGTATACCCACTCTGCAGTTATTCCCATTATATCAAAATCCTCCATTCCTTCCAGTGCTTTAAAGTCATTGTTTTATTTCTTATTCTTCTAGTTTTAAAATAATAACAATTAAGCCTACCCTTATAACTACTTCTATACTCATTTCCTATGTTAATCTTTTCTCTGCCTCTTATTCTTTTTGCATTTAGTTTATCCTGGCCCTCACCACTGTCTAGTCCTAGTTTAAAACTTCCCTTACAGCTGAGTTAATAGCCCTTGCAAACAAGCCAGCCACTATCCTATTTAAATGTAAACCACCCATTCCAAAAAAGCTACCTTCTTCCATTGAAGTGATCCCACGAGTCCAACCAGCCTATCTGCTGATCTTTACTTTTAGACCACCACATATGTTTTACCTATGGTGATCATATTTGATGGCCTCAAGTATAATCTGCATCCTTTGATAAGTTTCATGTTCACAGCATGAGCAACAGGAATCAGTGGCTTAATGTTCCCATTGTGCAAAAAATACAGCTTTTAGACTAACGTTAGATGAGTCAATAAAAAGTATCCATTCTTGAGGATAATGTTCATTGCCTAATTCTTACATTAGTGAATCAAAATTTTTATCGAAACACAAAGTATCTTGTATGCTGTAGTGAGAATCAAGACATTGATGGTGAATTCGGTAAATTGGAGCTAATAAATTACATTACTGTAAACAAGAACCAAGAAGTTCCCCATGCTGCTTTGATAGAGATAAGTCTTGAATCAAATCATTTTGCTTTTCTTGTGTGATCAGATGAAACAGTTTATGTTGAAGTGCTACAGGAATAGCATCACTAGATGTAAAGGATGAAGATGATTCATTATCATCTTTGCAGGATAACTCTTCTGTTTCCCAATTTTCTGGTGGATGTGGCACTGGAAGACCATCCATTCCCATGAGGTACTAATTTAATTGCAGATGCAGTATCTGGATGTGTGCTGTTTAGTTTTCCTGAATATCCAAAAACTTTAGGCTTATGCCATATCATGGGAACTACAAATGGCACACTTGCTCTCTTTTTATTTAGCTAGATGTGCAAACTGTACAATGCACATGTGGAACCCAATTTTGTCTTTACCTTTTGTGTGGTGTTTTATGTTCTTGAAACTGTAATATTATTTTCCACAAATGTAGGAGAAACTGTTTGGGTGATTTTTGCACTTTTGGACTGTACTTGAACTGGAGGTAGCCAGTATTTCAAATGATTTTCTAAAATATATATTAGTTTATGTTTACAGAACCAGAGTTTAAAAGATTAAAAAAAAAAGTTTTGCAGAATTTGATTATATTGAGGTATGATGCGAGGAAGAAGATCAGACTTTATTTTGACTGTGTTTGGAGTAAGATGAAGTGACCAATGGAATGATGAAAGGAATTTGAATCCACTCCTTTTATGTTGGGTCAAGGGACTTCTCAAACATTCTAGCAAACTGAGTGAGAGAGGAGGGTTTTATGATTCCTGGGTGGAGCAGATGAGCATGGGAATAAAGGAAAAGTGATGCAAGTTGCTAAAATTATATCAAAAACAAATAGCATATCTGAACAATATATTTAGAATTTTACACCAATACAATACAGTCAGTGTTTGAAGTTTTCAAAAATGTATGCCTTTTACTCATTAAACTGTTTAAGTAAATTTTATTTTACAGCATAAATTTTTTGTACTGACTTGGTTGCATGGTATTTCACATAGTGAGATCTTACAATAACTTAAAATCTTCAAAAGCAATGGACAAATTCTGACTACATTTTTGAAATCAGCACCATCAAATTACCCTGAATCACTTGAGTTTTCTCCAGTAGCAAATGTATTATTGTCCAGTGTAATCTGTATTGTTTTTAGTCTTAGTATGAATTTATTCCTATAAATACATAATATTTATATTATTTTTAAAACTTAATGTCTATGGATATCCATGTTGTGTGTCTCATGTTTTTGTAGGATTCCCTCAGACTAAGCTAGGAAATTACATAGAGAACAGGGTGAATAATTTTATCAGGAAGAAGGAAGTAGGAGCTGGAGAGGTGACTGTTAGAGTTGTTGCTAGTGGAGATAAGGTTGTGGAATTGAAGTCTGGAATCAGAAGTCGGTGAGTATTTTCTTTTGAAGCATAATGTTCATCTTGTAGTTCCAAGATGAAAAGTGATGTTGATTTTCATTTTATAACAAAGCTTAACTTTTAAAATTTTGATATTATGTAAACCTAATACAACAGTTTCAGTTTCTCGGATCATTTATTTAGTATTTGAGCTGTTAGCCATTTCATTGCTACATGGTCCATCTGAAAGATGCACTTCTGAGCAATAAAAAAAAATCTATGAAAAAGAGACAACCAAACAAACAAGAAAGAATAGGATAATGTAAAAATTGTAACAATATTATTCAAGTATTCAGAACAGACTTAATTGTAGTGGAGCTGTGTTGTTATTTAAGTTCAGAGTTCGTTTTAATAGATAAACTTTCTTTAATTAATATTTGAATAATGAATGATCTTGATGAAATGACTTTGAAATTTGTAATGAAGATGGAGTGGTTGCTGTTTTCAGTATGTGTGCAAATTGTGGAATCTGGTGGATTTGATAGTTTGTTACCAGTTCTACTTGATACTCTGGTATGTTTGCAGATTCACAGGTGTAATTGGCATGTACTTTTGCCTATGTAAGAGGCATTACAGCCACCATATGTGTATTTATATATTCAAGTGCATGGTAGGACATCTGTGGCCTTTTCTTTCTACCTTTCAAAGAGACAAGTTCATGATGTTCTTTTCATCTAATATCTTGACAACAGTATCAAAATTTTAATGGTCATTAAGAATGAAGTTTCAGCCAGGCTCTTTCAGCAGATTAACTTGTTGCCATTGATGTTAATGACAAGAAGAATCATGTCACTTACAAGAACATTAACAATGACATCCTCACAAAAAAAAAGTTTAAAAGAGTCAACTGGTGCAAGTTAAAGGTAGTAATGGAATTTCTATTGAATGTAAAATATTCCTTCTTGAGTTGCTTCAGAAAGTTTGCAGTAAATCTCTTGTATTGTACCCCTTGGGAATGAACTTTTCATCTTTGAACTTTAAATAAATAAATACCAGTTATTACAAATGCAGAACCAACTTGAAGAAAGTTGTTGAAATTTTTGTTAAATTCAGCTTTCTGGACAACATCCCAACTAAAAGAGTTGATGAACTTCTATAACCCTATATGAAGACTGATGACAGGTTTTATGAAGTATTAAAGATGTTCCTTGCATTGTTACATTACCAGGCTCGACTAGAAAAGTTTTTGCAAAACAAGAGTTTAAGATAAAAAACCTAATTAAACAGTCCTTAGTAGAATAGAAATGTCTTATTATGGTACATCGGTGGAAGGAGTTCTAAGTGTTGCCATTAAAAATCTGTTGCTGGTGTCACTAATCATGTCAAAACATAAATATGAACTTTACCTTTAGAGGCAAAGTGAAAAAAGAAAAACATCAGAGAAGCAAAAAAAATGTTTTATAGAGGATGTGAAAAAGCTAAAATTTACTAAGAAAATAGATTTCCTTATGAAATCAACAGATCAGTTCTCTGAGAAGGCAGATAATATTGGAAATCTTGCATTTTTTGTTAAGAATAAGTGCAAGGGAAAATGAACAGGTAGAAAAATGAAGATATAGGTGGATTCTAAGATTTTCACTTAAACATCATTAATTCATATCAAGTAATTGTTAGAGCCAACCAGTTTGTTTTATGACTTTGTGAGTCAAAACTTTTTTGGCATTTGAAGAATTTTGGAACAATGTAATGTTTGAAGGAGACCATATCCATAAGTATTAATAATTGCTATACATTTTGCCCATGTATTTTTACAAGCATAAGATTGTTTCATGTTTGTTACTTTTGTATGCAGAATTTTATAATGATTTATCCTTGTGGAACTCCATAATATTTGAAACACTAAAGCACTGTAGGTTAGTTTTGAAATTTATAAAAACTGGATGAGGCTATAAAAGCATCTTATATGAACATGGTTAAGTTGTGGTTCCAGATTTCTTCTCTTTTATCTGTACCAGGATGTTTCTTAAAATTGCATATGGATCTTTGTGATTAATCATTAAGTTCATTAACTTTGAGCATTAATTAGTGTCATAATCAATCAAAATTACAGTTAACTCAATAAATGTCACAAAGGTAATCAGATTTATTTTTCTGATTAATACTGTTTTTGATTATTCCAACCATCCAAGTAATCAAAGTATTACTGTTATGATTTCTCATTATTATTTCATTAATTCAAGCTTAATTGATTAATTTCATGACTCAATAAAATAATTGACTAATTGAAGCTAGTGTTCCAAGTTATACAATATTTAATTATTTCAACTATATCCATCTCATTTGAATAATCGATTAGCAAATCACACTTATCTCCCAGCTGTAATTGTAAATTTCAGTGTTTTTGCATTATTTTATCTGTACTTGTATACATAATAAAACACTACAAGCTTTGGAGTGTTATTTCTTTCACTTGTTTCATAACTTAAAAGGTCATTTTTCTGGATGTAATTTTATAGCTAACCTGTGATAAAAATGATTATATACCACTTTTCAACTAAACCTAAATCACCTGAATTAAATGTTTTTCAAAATGTACAAACATAAAATACATTCCTAATATGAATTAAAAACATTAGAATATTCTAAGAAAAATTAGTTAAAGCTTATCAAGTATACTTTATTTTCAATTCCTTTTCTTTTGATTAAACCTGAATGTTAATTACATTTTCTCCTGTCATTATAGAAAAGCAGTGTATTTCCATAATTTTTAACAAATTAATACAAAATATGCCTCTTACTTGTCATTTTTTTTTTATTCCTAGTATTAGTTTTATGATTGCACAGCTTCTGCTAACCGAACTCAACTATTGTTATTTTTTACCTCTTTTGTTATATTAAAACTACAAATACTGTAAACTATAATAACAAAGATATTTTATTTTTCATTAGTATTTTATTTAATTTTAATTCTAGAAATGTAATATAACTTTTAGAATGTCTAAGTTCTGGTGCATTCTGCATTGTTCACACAGACAAGTTAAGATTTAGGATGAATTTGTATAAAGTCCATGTCAGATTTCCCAGTATATGCCACCAAACATTTTAAGAAATGTATTTTGACCAAATTCAAAATTTTGAAAGAAGCCTATTTTAATTAATTAATTTATTTATTTATTTATTTATTTTTTTGGTGGCTGAAATAGAACGTACAATTTAATCAAAGTTGCTAATTATGGTTTTAATAAAGTGAAAGATAAAGTTCAGTTATTTTCTATTGTTTGTTGGCAGGTTAATAGAGAATGGACAGGTTCCTGAGCAGTTTCCATATAGAGCTAAAGCTTTATTTGCTTTTGAAGAAGTTGATGGGGTAGATGTATGTTTTTTCGGAATGCATGTGCAAGAGTATGGTTCCGAGTGTCCTATGCCAAATATGAGGTGAGTTTTCCAATTTAATAACATATAACCCTCTAAGGGCCTTGTCTGTTGATTAGAAAAATCATACTCTTTCTTTTTCTTCTTTCTGTTACAGAAACAAAATACACTAAACTTGATACAGACTTTCTGAAAAACATATAATTTCTCTAAAAAGAAATTAGTACTTTTGTGACTTTTTATCTTCTGGATTTTTTGAAAGTTCATTTTAAAACACTGTTATAAAAGGACTTCCATTTGTCTGAGATTTCTCATATACTTAGGTTAGCAACCTAATATCTGAATAAAATGTCTAATATAATATTCGTTTCTGATTTTCTTCTAATAATACCATACAAAATTTGCCTATGATCATTAGTCTATACAATATGAAACTGTATGAAATAAATGCATAGAACCAAGACATTTCTTTATCTATTACTGAACCAAAAGCTATATTTTATATATCCAACTCGTTTTAACTTGTTTTATATTCATTAATCTACTTTATTTTTCTTTTAATACTATTTTTATTTTGCTCTGAAGCAGTTATGTAACTCAATTAAAAAACTCAGCAAGTCCATGAATAATTTTATACAATGGAAATTATTGCACATTTCAATAGGCCTTAGTACATGCCAACCATAATTATCCTCTTCAGTTCTTGTTGTTGAGAAATATTTCTGTAGCTCTGAATAGAAAATAATACAACACAGAGATATAACAGCAACATGAAAAATTTCTCTACAAACTTTGAAAATTTTCAGGTCTTTAATAAATTGTGAACAAAAAGCACTATTTCACCTTTCAGTTGTGACTTTACCAGATTACTTTTACAGAACTTTTAGAGAAATTCAATTACAAATTATTTAAAAGTTGTTATGAAACAAAATTTGGCAAGCTTTTTATAAACATGAGAATTTTCATACACAAACAAATCAGGTTTAAAATAAAGTATTTTACAAAGTCAGTCTGATTCTGACTGGTTTAGTTACAAAGTAATTTTCATGTTAAGAATCAGAGCATTTTTTTTTTTAGAATAACTGCAGTTTTAACATATATTACAGTTATTTATTCTACATGACCTTGGGTTCCTAACAGTTTCACATCTAATTTCATTTAATTTTATTGTTTTGTTTGCTCTTTGAACTGTGTCAGATTACTAAACTAGAGTAACAAAAAGCAAAAATCACCCAGCGAGAGCATAGCTGAAATTACAGTAAACAAGTATTAAATTACATAAAGCAGTTTGTGTGCATACATTGCAAATAAATTTTTAATTTAATTTTTTCATTTACGTTTCCTTATCTAATCTAACAAGTTAGTTACATTGTAATTATTTTTATAACAATAATTTAAAAGTATACATAAAACAAACAGGAATTTAGTACTTACGTAAGTCTTTTACCTTTCTGTACAATATCAATAACTATAATAACTTAACTGGCTTTCTAATTAAACTGTCAGTTGCTTAAAATATTTGAGGTGACTTAGTGATTGTGAAGACTGAAACTGTAGGCTGAATAATTCAGTACCTTTCATCAGAACAAGCTAGCCTTACAAGGAATTCAGTAAATTAAAATCTTTTTCCATTAATTTACTATAAATAATCCAATAGCAAATGTCAAAGAGAATTATTGACATATTATTGAAAGTCGGGTGTGGGTTCGATTTTCTTGTTTATATCTTGGTAAAAGCAAGAAGATTGGAGTCTATAAATTTGGATTATGTCTTAACAATATCTATAAAGATGTATACCTTGTATTAAAACTCAGAAGCTTAAATAAGGGTGGAAATAATATATATAAAAAGGGTATTTCTTAGTGAAGGAATGTCACATGATACAAATGAAGATTGTGAATTTATTTAAATATTTCCCTTTGAAATTAAGAAATTATAGCTTGGAAAATATTACATATTGAATTATAGAATACATTTTGATAGAGAGTTTACTGACATCTATGCTTTCTATTTAACAAACACAGTTAAATGAATAAGCTATTCAACAGTCAACATTTTCTTTGAGCAAATAAAGAATACAGAATAATTGATTAGTTGTTTAAACATTTGTTTAACAACAAGTAAAATAATGAATAATAATTTGTAACTGTTTTGTTAATAAAACTTATCCTAAGTTGTGCATAATTACAATTTTTTTAAAGAGGACCTCTACAAATATAGTTCAGAAGAAAAAACATGACATTATTGATTAAAGTAATTAGTTTTGAAAGTTATATATAATATAATATGAGATCATTATTTTATAAACTTACCACTGTTTATTAATTTTATTACATAAAATATAGTTCAAATCTATAGCTGCATAACATGTACCATAAGGAAAACATTTAGTTAAATAAAATGTGTGTGTGTGTATGTATATATATGAGTTTTAGAATAAGAGTTGTGCTTTACTAAACCCAAGATGATACCAAAATTGGTCCTCTGGGAACTTTGGAATTACGGGCAAGCTCATTTTCCTGCAAAAATTTTGTTTTTCACAAATGACTGGAAGTCAGTTACATAGTTTTACTTTTTGCAGGCAATTTATAAAACATTTTTAAATGTTGCATTAACTGAATCTGTTTAGAAGTTCTAGAAGTTATGCAAAATGTACAAAAGCACTTTCATTCTTTACATGGACATCAACTTGCACTCCAACTATACACCTGGAAAAAAGTTAAGCACCCCCCAAATATTTTCAAGTGATTCAGATTCGACGTTCTTGTGACTGATTATAAATTACCATTCAATCTAAACGTG